ATTTTAACATCACAGCTTACGACGTAATTTTTAATCGTTAAAATTACAAAAGTCATTGGATTTTACTTGAAATTTCAGTAGAGAGGAGAAACGTTTTTGCTGGTGGAAGAGGCGAAAGACATTATGGATAACAATGATAATGGTAATGGTAATAACAAAAAATCGAGTGATAAAGGTGATCATAGTCGTCATTTTGATGATTATAATTAACTTTTTTCGTTTGATAAGCCGTTCCCTTTGGCTCATGTTTATTACTCACCACACTTGTCTGACTGAGGGCCATCGCGAGGAAAATTCGTATTGTCTAATTGGAAAAAACAATAAGAATAATCCAACGAACAAATCAGCCCCCCTTCAGAAGCCGATCCGCGGAAGCATCGCTCTTTTATATACTGTGGACACGTCTCCCATTCCACCTGACTCTAGCGTTAACTGAGGGCCGAGAGGGCAGTCAGCCATCCTGCCATCTCAAGGAAAATCAATGTGAAAAACATAGTAAAACCAAATTTCTACGATGTAGGAAATAAAATGAGCCACACCAGCCATAATGGGTGGTATTTAAAATCGTTATACTTATATACTTAATATCGTCTTAAGCATTTCCTATCGCTGTTTATCCCATATTTCCATTCAGACTCTGAATACCGAAATGTGACCATTGAGCTATCATTCCCACTATCTCTAAACTGGACCGTGAATGGCCATCAATGGCCATGTGTAATGAGCGTAATGTGGCGTAATGAGCTCCGACTGGCTCCGAGCCGACTGTGTATCAAATAATTTACGAATTTATTTGCAAATAAAACGTGCTATTTGAATTATGATAATTTCTCTAAACAAGGTAATTATATGTATTGAAAAGGAACTCAACGATACTTCGTTTATGGTAACACCGGGTAACACGTGTTCACTAAAATTAAAATGAGCTAAAAAACGTGAGATGAATAAACGTCATAACATGATGTAACGTAGATTGATGTTTTATTATGTTTACTTTGTTTTCAGTTACAGAGTTATGAGAACGAACTCAAATACTGTAACGTTTTCGCGTAAATACTTTTCGAAGCCTTCAAATTATTTATCGGTTTCGAGGTTTTACATATGATCTGGATCATATTAAAAACTGATCGCAAGAACATAAACTGATTTATACTGTACATAGAAGTACGCTTGGTAATTGATCATGTTTTTCTAAATTCTCTTAAAATATTCTAATAAATAATTCAGTCTGATATTGAGTAATGTTAGTTACAGAAAAATGCCAGACATTAAAATCACTCCTTTGGGAGCTGGTCAGGATGTTGGGAGAAGTTGCATTCTAGTTTCAATGGGCGGAAAGAATATCATGCTTGATTGTGGTATGCATATGGGCTTCAATGACGAAAGACGATTCCCAGATTTTTCATACATAGTCCCAGAAGGACCAGCAACCAATTATATAGACTGTGTGATCATTTCACACTTTCATTTAGATCACTGTGGTGCTTTACCATATTTCACAGAAATGGTAAGACGAGATATACGAGTTATCCAGCGAGACATTTGTTTCCTAACAAATCATTTTATAAGGTGGGATATACTGGTCCGATCTACATGACGCATCCAACAAAAGCCATTGCACCTATTCTGCTTGAAGATATGAGGAAAGTCGCAGTCGAACGTAAAGGAGAGAGCAATTTTTTCACATCACAGATGATAAAGGATTGTATGAAAAAAGTGATCGCTGTTACGCTGCATCAATCTGTGATGGTCAATTCGGAACTAGAAATTAAGGCGTATTATGCGGGACACGTATTGGGAGCTGCGATGTTTTGGATACGCGTTGGTTCTCAGTCTATTGTATATACCGGGGATTATAATATGACTCCTGATAGACATTTAGGCGCTGCTTGGATAGATAAATGTAGGCCAGATATATTAATATCGGAATCAACATATGCAACGACGATTAGAGATTCCAAGAGGTGTAGGGAAAGAGATTTCCTGAAGAAAGTATGTTTAGACCAAGAATAATACTTGTAATGTTACTTTAAGTTAGTTTTACTTGGAACTCGCAAAAATAATTATTTTCCAGGTTCACGAATGTATAGACAGAGGCGGGAAAGTGTTGATCCCCGTGTTTGCTCTCGGCCGTGCGCAAGAGCTTTGCATATTATTGGAAACATATTGGGAGCGAATGAATCTTAAAGTTCCGGTCTATTTTGCTTTAGGATTGACCGAGAAGGCTAATAACTATTATAAAATGTTCATCACTTGGACCAATCAGAAGATCAAGAAAACGTTTGTACAGAGAAATATGTTTGAATTTAAACATATAAAACCATTCGATAAAGCGTACATTGATAATCCCGGTGCAATGGTAGTATTCGCTACGCCAGGCATGTTGCACGCTGGATTGTCTTTACAGATCTTCAAGAAATGGGCTCCGAACGAAGCGAATATGGTCATTATGCCTGGATTCTGTGTCCAAGGCACCATCGGTCACAAAGTGTTAAACGGTACCCGGAGAATTGAATTCGAGAACCGGCAAATCGTCGAAGTGAAAATGGCAGTGGAATACATGTCGTTCTCCGCGCACGCCGACGCGAAAGGCATTATGCAGTTAATACAGTACTGCGAACCGAAGAACGTTATACTCGTGCACGGGGAATTCGCGAAAATGGAGTTCTTGAAAGAGAAGATTAAACAAGAATTCGGAATCAATTGTTACAACCCGGCGAACGGGGAGACTTGCATTATTACGACTATTGCCAAAGTACCGGTGGACGCTTCTTTAGCTTTATTGAAAGCGGAGGTGAAAAGGTACTCGGCTCTGCCGCCAGATCCAAAGCGTCGAAGATTGCTCCACAGTATTTTGATGCTACGGGAGGACGGGGCATGTCTTGTAGACGCGGACGAGGTGACGAAAGCTGCGGGTATAACGAAACACGTGGTACGATTTACGTCCACTGTTCAAGTGAGGGATCCCGGCCCGGCACATTCGACAACTTTGAAGCTGTTGCAACCATTAAAAGAAAGATTATCAGGTTGGACGGTTCAATTAACGGATGGGTCGATATCCGTGGAATCCGTTTTGGTGAAAGTTGAGGGCGATGAGGATGATCAGAAAAGCGTGTACGTCTCGTGGACAAATCAGGACGAAGACTTGGGTAGCTATATTTTAGGATTTTTACAAACGATGTTGAATTAAATAGATAGATAAAGAATTCTTTTGTACCTAGTATCATTACTGCAGCGAATATATTTTTGTAGTAAATGAAATGCATTTTTTTAATAAGAATATCACCCACTGAATGTGATTGATTCGTTATTAAAATATGACCGAAGGGGTTCTTAAAAATAACTTGCCATAGACACAAGAAAATAGACCGACCGCCCAATGTATTTCTATTGACCTCGTGGGAGATACAGGAAACGGGCTTTCGCCGAGTCTCTCTGTTCTCTAACTTGGGCGCTCGGCCTGTTTTCATATAAGTAACTTGCATCGTTCTGTATAGTTAGAAATTATTATTGAAATTCGTATATTATGTAACATGAAATAAAACAATGATCTTTATGTTAACTATCTCTATTTTACTAAATGTAAAATATAAATAAGTACAGCGTGAAACAAACGCGATTTTGTAAATAAACGAAACAATGATACTTTACGAAACTAAATGTTCAATACATTGTAGTAGAGTATTAATGACTGTTTAATAGTTTTCAACGTTACATCATAATAAAAATATAATTGTTCTTGTAAAATAAACTAACACAACAATGATTTCAATAAACGCTCCGTTAAATGCCCCAATTACAAATAATTCAGTTGATTGCTCAAGTTTCCTAGAAATTATTCAAGCCATACATTTGTTAATACAACTTACGTACTTTATTGTGTTTTAATAATAATGAAACATAATTATGTGCCCACTAGAGTTGTGCTCGATTGTATCCCCGTATTTTATAAAATCAATCTCATGAATTTAATATTTGTTCTAAAAAGAAAAGCCTCTATTGAACACATCATGCAATTATCCTTTTATACAAACGATGACACGAACTTACTTATTTATTGCACATTAATTCAGTAGCGATTTCAGGTTTTTTATAGAAATCCTTTACAACAATATGAAAATTGTCTAAAATTCTGGTGTTCGTTACTAAATAAAATCAAGGAAATGACACATCAGTGTTTGAAAAAGATCAGAATTCTAATAACATCATCGTGCGTTTCATTAAGCGTAACGTAACATACATTTTCAATATATGATCAATTGATTTCATGATTAATAAATCTCGAATACGCTATAAGGACATCAAAAAACGATTGAGCGCAGTTGATTGTGTATAACGAAAATAATATTTAAACAATAAACGCCTATTTATCATGTAATTTACAATGCACAATTTGAATAATTCTTAAATTATCCTCCTTACTCGTTATCTATTAAGGATGTATTGGCTATACAATCAATCCCAAAATTTATGCACTTTAGAAACACATTTTTTAAAAAGAAATCAGA